CACCAGAGTGCTTTTCAGGGTCTTTATCAGTGCTTTCATTTATCTCTATCCTCTCCAGTCCCACTCAATGTTCCCAACTGTGATGGAAGCTCAAGAAATGAGGTCAATTTAGGTTGAGAGCTCAGGTGATAGCACTTGAACCCCTGAGGCTAACTCTACCTAACAGTTTTCAGATACATAAACCAACAAATTCTTTACTTTAGGGAGAAGGAGACTTAATATTAAGTTCAAATTGGGCTTCTCTAGCGATTTAAAAACCTCTAATATGGTTACTACAATGATGTGTTTATGTCCTCTATTCAGAACTATATTAACTAAAAAAATTAGTTGCAATGTGAAAATCAAGATTGTCACTATAAAGGCATAAATGTTGTTTGCTCTGTTCTGAGAAAATCTAGGAACTCAAATTAACTATTTTGTACTCAAGATTTACTTGTTAGACATTTATCCAGTGTTTTAAAATGCTAATTCAGGGCTCTCCGTGGTGGCACAACAGGTTAGGACGCAGTACTGCAAGCTAACTACAGCTGCTTCAGTGTGAGTTCGATCCCCTGGAGGTGACCCACATGGCCCAGAACTCGTTTCGCCCACTGCTCTCTTCAGCAGTGTACTTCTCTGCTAAAGCCTCACTGCCCCTGCACCTCTGGCTTCTACCACAGTTCTGTACGAATAAGTAAATCTTTAAAAAAAATGCTAATTCAGCAAAGGATAACCAATGTTGTATTAAAAGAGATTGAGACATTTAAGTCCTCCATTTGTTTCCTTAGAACCAAAATTTCCCTCTCACCTGCTTCTCTCCCTTTTAAGTTCTCATTCTACTGGATTCTTGTTCTTATTGTCATTCTATATACATGAAGCAAATGTGCAAAATCTTGTTCCAAGAGGTACATTTATTCCAGGTTCAGTCATGAGTCTCGTGTCTTCTGCTCTAGGCTTAGTGTGGACCACTAATGGACTCATCAGCATTATGTAGATGTTTTGTCAGAAATGCAAATTTTGGTGTCCTAGCTCAGACCATTTGAATCAGAATCTCTAGGGATAGAATCCATAAATTCATTCCAAGGACTCTCAGTCACACTAAAATTTAAAACCATTGCTATAGTAAGTTTGTAGAGTTACTTTCCTTGTGATTAACATCAGCATTTTACATTCTATAAGCCTTGACAGAAAATGGGTAACAATTTTCCCACTATATCCAAGACCCATTTATATTTTTCTTTAAAGTCAGAGCTGACTCTTTACTTTTTTATACCTGGGGGAAAGGAGTACTGAAACTTAAACAAAAGACTCAGCTGAGTATTTTAGAAACTCTGAGCTTTGTCACTCTTCTAAGATTTTTAAATTGTCTACACAGGCCAAGTTCTCATTTTCTCCCTCCCCAGATCTGGGTATGTTTAATGTGACCACTGCAGCAATTCTGAAGGTTGGGGTAAATGCTGGACAATACTGTACACAGTTCTTTTCTGCTTCACCCAACACAAGTACATCACAGGTTGCTAATAGAGCAATACTGAAGAGCACAAGTGGGTCACAGACTAGAGAAATAGACTAAGGTCTAAAATAGTAAAAATTGACAGCTAGACTGAAGTTGGGACACCAGTGGGGTTAAGAAATCATTAGAATATAAACATTATTTGAAACAATTCTTACAACACAAAAAATTTTAAATATAGTAATCATATAAAGTTTCAAGCACACCTTTTATTCCACAAAAGTATGCTTCCTTTCACATCAGTTTAATAAGCTTATTTTCACAATGTGTAGACTTTCAGTTCCTCTCATTTATTTCCAGTTTTTTTTTTTTTTAAAGATTTATGCAACAGAGTGGGGAATAGAACAAGCAGATCGACGAAATACACTGCTGAGGGGAGCAGCGGGCGGATCAGGAGAGGTCTGCCACGCCATTTGGTCACCTCCGGGGCAGGCGGGAATCAACTCAATGCGGAAGCTTTAGATTTCTCAGTGCTGTGCTTTAACCCGCTGCACCACCAGGGAAGGCCTATTTCCAGTTTTTTAAAATGCCTTAATATTAAATAACTTATACTTTAAAATCCTGTACACTATTTTTCAAGTGGAGCTATTTAAAATTATGACTGACAAAATGCCAACCAACCAAGGTCCCAACCTAATAACCAAAATAGGAAAGAAATGTCACTGTTTGGACAGTGTTAAAGGCTCATCAACTGCTGTTTTGAGTGCCACAAATAAATGCATTCATACTCTGAAAGCATATTTAGCTTGTATATCTTGATACTGAGGTATAAGGTCATACTCTGCAAACTTTTTTTTAGTCTAACAATTTCTTCCACAACAGCAACTATGGTAAAAACCAGTACCAACACTGGATATTGTCAAGTTTTCAGTCTTCTAGTTAATACAGTATATAGACACTTAAGTACAATCACACCAATTTGTAAATAAACTTTGAAATATTAGAAATTTAATAAAACCAGGTAGTCTTTAATTTTTCTCTTTCCTATTTTCCTTATTCATCTCTAGATGCCATTAAATCCTAGATTAAAATATGGCCAAAAAATAAAACAATGTTGGAATGTGTTTCAACTGAGTTTCCTGAGTTTCTCATCCACTTAAGAGCTATTATCCTCCTAAAGACAAGTATTCACCTAAGGCAAGCATGGGAAAAGTCAGAATTGAATCTTATGTTTTTCATGGTTGACGTGTCAGATACATGAACCATCCATTGGAAGGGCTAAATGTCAAGTCTAACTGGTTGACTTGTGACTTATCCATCAGCTTAACAAAGACCCTAGATACAGCTGTATGTTCAACATGTAGATGGGAAGTTTTAGTTTTAAGCCCAAGAACAAAACGCTACTGTATCTGAATAAATAACCTCTAATTTCAAGTTTACATTATTGACTCTTTCCACTATATGAAGGGAAGCAGTACTGCAACCGTCACTAAAAGGATAAAGCAGGCTCTCCCTGGCGGCGCAGCGGTTAAAGCACAGCACTAGGAAGCTAAAGTCACATCAGCATGAGTTCGATCCCTGCCCTGGAGGTGACCCACATGGTGTGGCAGACCTCTCCTGACCAGCCCACTGCTCCCCTCAGCAGTGTACTTCCTAGATCTGCCTGTACTGCTCCCCACTGTCTCTAGTGAATCCTCTCTGTCCCTGCACCTCTGGCCTGTACCCCAGCTCTGTAAGCATAAATAAATCTTTAAAAAAAAAAAAAGATTAATCACTTTATCACTTTATCAAATTTCTACAGTGAATTATTCAGCTAACTTCCTGACAGCTAGAGATTAGTCCATTCCACTGCAAGGTTTTCACAATCATGAGCATTGCCAGACACTCATTTAAAAAGCATTCCATGACAAGTCAGTATGAGGTTGTGCTATATATTTGGTGAACACAATGCTCGATTACCTCATAACTTTTCCTCAATTCTCTCTACTTCCACTAACATATTTAGACCTACCACTTCTATATGGATGCTGAAGTATGCTATGATTGCTGGTGTGATTGTTTTACCAATTTATTTTCTTACTCTGTTAAATTATCAATTTTAAGTTTTTTTCCAAACAAAAAAAAGCCTTTTAAGAAATCTGAAGATATTAAACTCACTGCATAAAAAACTTTGTTTTGGCTCCTCATGTATAATAAAATTCTCAGATATGTTAAATTCATACACAGCAACCTACATTCATCTAATATCTGTTGGAGACCCCTAAGGCATGAGGTGCTGAGACAAGGAGAATGTAGGAGTGACTAGAAGACTGTCCACAATGTCCTTCTTGTGTCAGCAAAGTTATGCTTGAGAAACAGGCAAGAATTGAAAGGGAGTAGAATATATGGGTCCTCCATGGTGGCGCAGTGGGTTGGAGCACAGCACAGTGAAGCTGGCCCTGGCCACATCAGTGCGAGTTTGATCCCCGCCTCAGAGATGATCCACAGGGTGCAGCAGACCTCTCCTGTCTCGACTGCTGCTCCCCACAGCAGTGTACTTTGTGGATCTGCCTGTTCTGCTCCCCACTATCTCTGGTAAATCCTCTCACCACCCCTGCATCTCTGGTCTATACCCCAGTTCTGTATGCATAAATAAAATCTTTTCTTAAAAAAATGGAGTAATATAATATATTCTGACAATCAGAGTTTCTGACAATGTAGAAACTTGGTGGTGAATGTGTGCCCGAACAAGGCTACATACTAAGAAAATGACTGTCTAGTAACTAACATGGAGTGGAGGGGGGCAGTTTGCTTCAATGAGTTACAGGCCCCCTGATGGTGCACACGTTTTAACAGCACTATGAAGTTATCCGTTGCACTGCTGCAGAGTTCAATCCCCACCAGGGAGCTGACCCACATGGCACAGCAAACTTCTCTTGCCTCACCAGCTATTCCTGTTCCACTCTCTATCTATTACCTGGTGAATCCTCTTATCTCCTGCACCTCTAACCTGGACACCAGTTCTTATGTGCATAATTAAATCTTAAAAAAAAAGGGGGGGGGGAACTAACCTGGTGGTGCATCGGGTTAAAGCACAGCACTATGAAGCCACTGCAGCATGAATTTGATCCCGGCTAGGGGATCTGCCTGCTCTGCTTCTCACTCTGTCTCTGGTGAATCTTCTCACCCCCCATACCTCTGGTCTGTACCCCAGTTCTATATGCATAAATAAATCAATCTTATAATAAAAAAAAAAGGTTGCACTGGGCTTAGGCCCGTTAAGCTTGAACTGAGAAGGCTTACCTCGCCTAACTCCTGCTTCTCTTAAGCACTATTTTGTATCTGTCATTTCTTTTTCTCAGTTCTTTGGATTCCTCTCCTCAATCCTGTTCACCCGAGCTGGCCTCCGGCAAATATTAATGATGTAGAAGTTCAAGTCAACTTTATTCAGTGAAGTTTTACTTATCTTGGAACTGATAAATATCCTGCTCTTTGTGTGTGAATCTAAAATATGTTCTCTGAATATAAAATGTGTCCTCTGAAATTATTTGCAAGTCATAAATAAAAACTTAGGCAGACAACTGTTAAGTATGTTGACATGTACACCGGGCAATAAATCCAAACTTTTTATTTAACTTACATCTGCTTAGTTTTTTATTGAGTTAAGTATAAAGGCCCAGTATAATCAACTCATTAGATTGGTCAAGGCAAGACACTGGAACTACACAACAGGCTTAAAAAGCGGTTGGTCTTTTAGTAGTTCTCTGGTAATCATACAAACACACATACATACACGCGCACACACACACAAAGTGGTAGAGTACTCTGGATATAGATTTCCCCCATAATCTTGTATAATGCAATGTTCACAATCTCTAGTATTCTGAAAACAATATAAATTGAATATGACCAAATTAGAGATGTCTGATAAACTCCTATAAAGTACTTGGGAACTCCAGCTACATTCCCCAAAAGATCAATTTTAAATTATAAAGGAAAATTCATATAAAATCACAACAGATTTAACAGACATCTTTCAAAACTAAATTAAATTGTAACTCAATTTTTTACTTTTCCAAATTTGACAAAGAAAAAAAAAGTACAAGTAGTAACATCTACTTAAAAAAAAAATCTAATAACTGAGTGGATCTGGGGAAGAAAAAAGCTATACAGTATTATTGCACTCCACGAATGTGCAGAATTCCAAAATATGCCAGCACTGAAAAACTGTCTTGCACTGAGGTTTTCCAAGAGGTACAACGAGCCTGCTCAGAAAGCATCTGGTCTGTACTAACAGCTTGCTGTCTTCAGTACAGGCCTTCATAATGTCAGTCACGCTGCTCTTGCAAAAATCCCTTAATGTCTGAAAGATAAAAAAGACAAATATATTACTTCAAAACCTAATCAGCTAAAAAAATTACAGGTCTAATTATTAAGCCTTGGAGATAGAGTTAATACAATCTTACTGTATTCTGGCAGGTCCAAATGTTCTTGGTTACTTATAAATTTAAGAAAAAACTCATCTTTTTTATGTTAAGTTAGAAATTCAAGTGCAGGTAATATATTTAAAATCTAGTATCTTGCTGATATGTGATATGAATTAATTGACACCTAGATATTATGTATTTTTAAATTACTTACAAAAGAGTTTTCAGTGCTGATAGGTGGGGCTATGACCGATGATGTGGGATTGAATCCATATGCACATTGAGCTTCATTTCATTGTCAAGAATTTGAACAAGCTGTTGCATGGATGGAAGGTGACCAGATTCCAGCTTAGACCACACAGGTACATCTATAAAAATAAATGATATAACCCCACCACAGAATTAATGATTCTCTAGCAGACATTTATTCTCCAAGTATTTATTGTCTATGTACAGGTGGAGATAAAAAGGTGAGCCAAAGAACTGGGGCCTCCCTGGCACAAGGGATTAAAGCACAGCACTATGAAGCTATCTGCAGCCACTGCAGCATGAGTATGATTCTCAGCCAGGGAGGTAACCAATATGGTGCAGCAGACCTTTCCTGACCAGCCCAATGCTCCTCTCAGCCAAGTATTTCAATCTGCCTTTTCTGTCTCTGGTGACACCACTCACCATCACACCACCCCCTTTACCCCACATCTCTGGCTTATATCCCAGCTCTTATCGGCATAAATTTACAAAAAAAGGAAGAGATAGCTGAAATATAGAAGAGTGGCACCAAGGAAGGCTAGATAAGTGGACAGGAACTAGATCAGAGGTTGACATACTGTAAAGGTATAGATAATAAGCATTTTCAGGCAAAATATAGTCTGTCAAACCAATTCAACTTTCACTGTAGCCTGACAACAACAATAGGCAAAACATAATTGTATGAACATGACTGTTCCCCAATAAAACCGTATTTAGAGGATATAAGGTACACATGGTAAGGTAAATATTCTGACCTTTATCTTAACAATAAAGTAAAGACATTTAATGAATTGAAGGCAGTGAAGCAACACAATGAAATAGGCATTAAAAAAAATTACTCTGCTGTATGGAGCAGGTGTCAGCAAATTTTTCTGTAAGAAGTCAGAAAATAAATATTTTAGGCATAATGGACCAAGAAGCAAAATTAAGGACATTATAACTTGAGTAAAGCATTTATATAACTTGAGTAAAGTTACTTAAGTGAAACTCAAAACTATATATTTCATATACTTTTATATGGCACAAAATGTTCTTTTGATTTGTTTTACCATTAAAAAATGATAAAAATTGGGCCCTCCCTGGTAGCGCAGTGGGTTAAAGCACAGCACTAAGAAGATAGAGCCACTTCAGCATGAGTTTGATCCCTGCCCCAGGAGGTGACCCCCATGGCACAACAGATCTCTCTCCTGACCCACCCTCTACTCCCCTCAGCAGTGTACTTTGTCGATTTGTCTGTTCTGCTCCCCAGTCTGTCTCTAGTGAATGCTCTCACTGCCCCTGCACCTCTGGCCTATACCCCAGTTCTGTATGCACAAATAAAATTTTTTTTTAAAAAATGTGCAAAATCACCGTTAGCACCTGTGTCATGTTTCCCAAACTCTAATACAGAAAATGTATTAGAAGGTAACAAGGTAACTGTGATTTGGCATAGGATGAAGATAAACAGAAGTATATTTTAGGGCCCTCCCTGGTGACAGAATGGTTAAAGTGCAGCACTGCGATGCTAGTTGCAGCCCCAGTTTGATCCTTGGCCCTGGAGGAGATCCACATGGTGCAGCAGACCTCTCCTGTTTCACCCGCTGCTCCCTTCAGCAGTATACTTCATTGATCTGCCTGTTCTGCTCCCCACTCAAGTCTCTGGTGAATCCTCTCACCATCCCTGTCCCTCTGGTCTGTACCTCAGTTCTGTATGCATCAATAAATCAATCTTCAAATATATATATATATATATATATGTATGTATGTATGTATGTATGTATATGTATATGTATTAGAGCAGTGCAGAACTGAGAAAACTTGGGAATCCTTTAGATATGGAGAGTAAGTTATTGCAGCTTTCTGATATGGGCAGAACAATGACTATGCCATTAAATGTGAAATGGTAGAGAAGAAGCTAACTGGAGTATACAAGAACTGCAGGAAGCTGCAGTAATCAACAGTTTGGAAGCAGGTATTATATATTGCTGAAGATTCCTGGGTAAAGCATATAGAAAAGAGTCCATGAGTTCTCTGGAGCTATACATTCAGAGGTCATCACAGTTTTTGTTGCTGTTTAGGTGGGATAATTTAGTGAATATTATGAGAAATAAAAAAGCCTTAGGTTCATTATAAATCATTTAAAATTCATCACAGAATGCAATCTACTCAGAACCCACCATTCAAAGTTATCTCAAATGCACCTGTTGACATACACTGGTTCTCAATCATGTTGCTCAAGAAGAAAACCATCATACATGCATAGACCTAAAAGGAAAGTACAGCAGCAAAATCATTATTTAAGAATATTTAAGACACAGTAATCATTTTAATACGTAGTCTCTTTTTTATTTGGTAGTTTTTTACGTCTAAAAGGTCCTATACAAAGTAAATTGCTACTCCATGTGTTCAGCTACACAGAGCATTAATTCTCAGCTCCATACAAGCTGAATATCTTATTTATGATATTCATAGTGGACTTAATGACTTAAACAAATGAATACCAGCATAAGAAGGGTTCATTTTACCAGTTTTATAATATACTGTATGAATTCACAAGAGACTAGTGATGCAATAAGCAGCAATTCCAAGTATTCAATACAACCTGTCCATGTTCCAAACAAATTGTTTAAAGTCAAACTAAGAAAAAAGGCTGGTGCCAGAAAGCATTTGCAGATTAAATTACATCCATTCACTGTTCAAAAACAAATCTATACCCTCCCAAAAGAAACTAAAAGTACCATTTTGAACAGGTCTGAATTTAGCAAAATTACTCCTGACAAAAAGTAGGATACAGTGAGTATGTCAATTCCCAGTAAGTTATTTCAAAAGAATATATTAAAATGCCCAGAGCAAATGAGAAAGAGTTCCTCACTCCCTCTGCTCCCACTTGAACTAGATGGGCTTTGATTTCACAAATTAGCCTAGCATTTGGTAACCTTAAGTCTAACTTTCATGGGCACTGTTATGAAAGCTACAGCTTGAAGTACATTTCTCTTTCAGAGTAAACTTAACATTACATGCCTAGAAAAGTAAAATGTACTAAAGATACTTTAATGTGTTGAAAAGATACAATTATAAGTAGCACTTGAGGATAATTTTGTTAAAAAGCCTTGCCACTATTAAAAATTAATGGTTCTCCCTATAAAAGTACAACTGCATAGGAGTCAGCTAAAGTTAGTCTCAGCCTAGAAGGATAAGATCTTCTTAAAGGAAACCCAAGCAGTTTCACCCGACAGAGAAATAATCAGTGTCATTTGTATAGCAGAAAGGTAGGAAAAAAGGATATTATTTGAAACAATTAAAGACATAGAGAGAATGTAAGTTTTCATTTGGTAGTTTTTTACATCTACTTAAAAAATTTCCATATAAACTTTTAAAGATCATATAAGGAAAAATGGAGGAACACAGATTCTTAAATTTATATTGTTTCAGGCAATTGCTATAACAGATTCCCCATGTACTTCAGTTAAAAGAAAAATAATAAAAACTGAGGGAAGGCCCTCCCAGGTGGTGCAGTGGGTTAAAGCACAGCACTAAGAAGCCAAAGCCACTTCCGCATGAGTTCAATACCCGCCTGCCCAGGAGGTGACCACATGAAGAGGCAGACCTCTCCTGGCTGGCCTGCCTGCTGCTCCCCTCAACAGTGTACTTCATCAATCTGCCTGTTCTGCTCCCCACTCTGTCTCTGGTGAATCCTCTTCACCACCCCTGCACCTCTGGCCTGTACCCCAGTTCTTTATGTACAAAAAAAAAAAGGGAATTCTGATAAGACCAATTCAGTGACAAATCTCATTTTTAATTGAATAAACCTATTAATGCCCATTATCAGTTGGTATGAAAGGTCTATATTATTTACACACACACACACACACACACACACACACACATTTTAGTATGCATATGATGTTTTGCTGAATGACTAATCAAAGTTATATAATCAATATCAAATTATTTTGTGCCCAGGTTCTACATATATATATATTTTTAAAATATGTATATGATTTTTACAATGGAATATTACTCAGCAACCAAAAAAGAGAAAC